TGTGTGTGTGTGTGTGAGAGAGAGAGAGAGAGAGAGAGAGAGAGAGAGAGAGAGATCCTTGGAATGAAACCCAGGGCCTCACCTATGCTAGGTAAGCACCTAGCACTGAGATATATCCCCAGCAAATATGTTCGTTTACTTATTATGGCCCAGTGGTGGGGCTCAGGCCCTCACTGTGCCATGCAGGTGCCCCATCACTTTGGAGTCCTTAGCCACAGCCTGTCAGTCTTGCTCAGAATTACTGATATGTCTGTGTGCTGTCCAGTCCCTGAATATACCTCTGCCCTCAGGGTAGCAGGGCCTCCTTGCAGCAGACCACTAGGAGACAGCCCAGATGTCTTGACGCTGGTGCCTTCCATCCAAGCAGCCAGGGCCTCAGATCCCTGTCTTTGGTCAAACCCACTTTCTAGCTGGGTGTGGTGGCACATGCTTGTCATCCCAGCACTTGGGTGGCTAAGCTCTTGAGCTCAGGAGTTAGAGGCCAGCCTGAGCAACCTAGCCTAGTGCTGGCTCCCTGTCCGTTGTTCAGCTATAGCCCCAAGCAAGGAGACAGGTGTCCCTAGCTCTGGGGGGGGAGAAGCCACATGGCACAGCAGAAGCCCAACGGGCCCGGGCTGCTTGGATGGGGGCTGCGGGTAACTGAGGGATGGGGTGGCCGTGAGAGGGCAGGCCAGCCTGTCAGCCTAGAATAGCCATTCAAGAAGGACAGGGCCCTGAGCACCATGCCTAAAGCTGCTGGTGGCCCAGATGACTTGCACTGCCAGCGGTTGGTGGGTGTGGGAACAGAGGAGGACTGGGTCCTTCCAAGAAAAATGGGGTGCAGCAATGTTTCTGAAAGGTGGGCCAGGGATTGAAGGAGACCAGGCAGCAAGTACAGAGCTCTTGTGTGTGCTGTAACGTGGAGCAGAGAAATAGGGAGTGGGCCAAGGGAGGAACTGGGGTGCAGGTGGGAGGGGAGCAACAGGGAGTCTTCTTAGAGGTGAGGCAGGCTGGCACCCCAATGGGAGGGTTTCTGTACCCAGAACACAGGGTCCAGCAGGAAGGACAGCTGTGGGGTTCTCCCAGGTGGAGAGGGGAAGAACAGGCCCTGTGTGGTGCTGGGCCCCATGGAGGTGTCCTGAGGCCATGGCCACAGTCTGTCTGGGTTCACACTTGGCTGTCAGGAGGGCTGTGATTCAGCAGTCACCAAGGGACACCACGTGTCTGAGGGGTCCCACCCACAATGAGGGGCAGGAGTGGGATCAGGAGGAGGAAAGAGCATGGGTATGGACATACCAGAGAGGAATGGACTGTCATGTCCCACACAGGGACTTAACCACAGAGGAAATCAGTCAAGTACCCCAGCTTCCCCACTCCTGAGTCCTGGGGGCACATGTGACTTTCTTTTTTATAATATGTGTGTGTGTGTGTGTGTGTGTGTTTTGAGACAGGGTCTCCTTGTAGCCCCAGCTGTCCTGGAACTCACTATGTAACCCAGGCTGGCCTTGAACTCGCAAAGATCTGCCTGCCTCTGCCTCCCAAGTGCTGGGATTAAACAGGTGTGCCACCATGCCCGGCCTTTTTTTTTTTTTTAAATTACATTTGTGTGTGTATATGTGTGTCGCGGGGGGAGGGGTAGGCATGCCTGCCATGACATGTATGTGAAAGCCAGAAGACAACTTGTGGGAGTCAATTCTTCCTTCCACCATGTATATGGGTCCCAGGGATGGAACTCAGGTCATCAGACTTGGCAGCAGGTAACTTTACCCACCAAGCCATCCTGCTGGCTCATGGCTTTAACTTTCCTTTTTTTTTTTTTCCTTTTTTCTTTTTTGTCGTTTTGGAGACAGGGTCTCCCTGTAGCCCCAGCTGGCCTCAAACTCACCTGCCTCTGCCTCCCGAGTGCTGGGATTAAAGGCGGTGCCACCACTCCCTGCCTGGCCTTTCCTTTTCTTCGAATTTTCTTGACTCTCCATCCTGTAGAACTCTGCCTTCACTGTAGCCCTAGGACCTGCATACACTGTCTTTAAATGTTCCTATGTGTAGTAGGTGTGCTGTATGTGCTCAGGGGTGCTGAAGGAGCCACTCGAAGGAGAGTGAAGGAATGAGTTCTTGTCAATGAGTGAGGAAGACTGGGGCCCCTGCTTTGGGGTTACAGCTATGTACTGTGGGATCCTACCTACACCCTGCATCTTCATGATAGCAGTTCTGTGACAAACCCCTGTGTGTCCCCTGCAGGTGGAAGAGTGGTCCAGTCCCGATACCTGCAGTATGAGAAGAAAGTCAAAAAGGTAACGGAGATGAGCTGCTGAGGGAAGTCATAGGACCTGGCCCTCAGGACACACTAGGGGTCTTTGCTGGGTGCCTCTGTAGGGCTGGAGCTTCCTGCAGAAACTCAGGTTCCTGCTGTTAGTGGCACTCGCACTGACCCATCTCCGTGTCTGCGCCCGCAGCCCCAGCCCCTCTTGCACTTGTGGTCGCTCTTTAGTCAGATAAGTTCCTTCATTGATGCCCGAGGTAGCTCCTGAGTGACAGGCGCCAAGGCGCTGACAGGAGGCTGGACGTTCACTGGGCATGGCTACCTCTCGATCTGAGTGGGCATGGGAGAGTTCATCTCCAGAATGGTATGGAATGTTCAACTTCAGTGGCCTTCACTTCTGGAATTTTCTATGTGACATCAGCATGGGCTGATGGAGTTCTCCTGGGTGCTGAAGCAGTTCTTCCCAATGCCAACACCCACTCCTAGGGAGCATGTTGTGCTGTCAACCTCCAAGAACCCAGGATAGCACACCCACTGCATGTGGCCATCTCTGAGGGACACTCCTCCAGAGGCTGGGCGTTGTGCAGGTTCTTCAGGTGCTGGTTTGGTCACTTTATAGCACTGGGCACAGGCAAGGTTGTGCTGGTCCCTCCACTTCAATGAGTTAATTTCCTGCATCCCTCTGGAAGCTTCCCACAGCTCATAGTCCTTGCTTCCTAGGTATTGGTGCTGCCGTGCCAGCTGGGCTGCAACACCGCAGTGTATCCACAGGGTGATGTTTGGGAGGGCTGCCTGCTGGGTGGCAGGGGTCATCATCAGGTGGCGTCCTGGAATTGAGTGTAGCAGCCCCATGTCCTTGTTGTCATGGTAATGGTTACCACTTTATCAGGCTGTTGAACTTCCACAAGGATGGACCAGCGTGTGTGTTACTCCAACTCCTGGTTGGAAGGCACTTGGGTGGGTCCATTTCTGCCTGAGGGGTGACTGGCTCCTAGGTAACAGTTGAACTTCACTAGAAACTGCTCAGTACTTACCCCAATACCCATTTCACGCCCCCAGGCACAGTAGGGACGAAGCTTGGGGCTGGCACTTCTCAGTCCTAAGTGGGGTGAGCCTGGCTGAGCTTGAGTGGGTGGGTGGGTGTGGTGTGGTGTATATATGAGTGGGGGGGTGAGGGTGTAGTGAGTATGTGTGGTATGGTGAGGGTGTGTGATGTATATGGTTTATGAGTGGGTGTGGTGTGGGTGTGAGTATGGTGTGGACATGAGTATGGTTTGGGTGGGTCTGTGTGTGAGTGTATATGGTATGTGTATGTAGGGTATGTGTGTGAGGGTGGTGTGAGTTGTATTTGTGGTGGTATGTGTCTAGGAGTGGGTATGTGGTGGGAGGGTGTTGTGGATGTATAGAATGTGGTGGAGGGGTGTATGTGTGGTAGGAGTGTGTGATATGTAGCTGGTGGATTGCTGTGTGAGGGTGTGGTGGGTGTGGTGTATGAGTGTGGTGAGTGTGGGGGGATGTTGTATGTGTGAGTTGGAGGGTAGGGCCTAGGCCTTCCACACTCCAGGCTGGCTCCCACCAGCACCAAGCTGCAGGCTAGTGAGCACTGGGGTTTAACTGGGTTCTGTGACACAGAGTCTGGCTAGGCTTCACCTGTGAGCGTGGTGCCCTTGTTGTGGTGCACATCTTGTCGGGTTCCTCCCTGCAGGCTTTTGTGTGTTCCAGATGTCCATGAAAAGCACAGACCTCAAAGGAGGTGAGACACAGTTTACACAGAGCCAAATATGGTGTCTGTGGCCCAGGAACACAAATCCAGGTCACCCCAAATTCCATGTTACAGTGTGGTAACAGTTTGATGAAGTTTTTATAGTAGCAGAACAAAGAAAGTCATAATCAAGGAAACTTCAAATCCAACGGAAACGTTAAGTAGGGATTTCTGCCGCAGCCTCCGTGCTGTCAGATGACACTCAGCCTTTCGGCTGGAGGAAGCCAGGGTTTGTTACTCTGTTCCAAAAGGTAGGTTTGTTTTGTTCGCTTGTTTTGTATTTTTTGTTTTGAGATGGTTTCCCTGTAGCCCCAGCAGGCCTGGAACTCACTATGTAGACCAGGCTAGCCTTGAACTCGTAGAGATCCACCTGCCTCTGCCTCCCAAGTGCTGGGACTAAAGGCATGCTTTTTCTCTCTTAGTTACAGCGTATTAGTTCCAACACAGAAGTGGGCAGGGAGTGGCTATTTAGGAGGCTAAAGATGGCCCAAGGTAAATGGTGATTGGATTCTGGACCTGCATCATTCCGCCCACAGTCACTAAAGTTCTAGTCAGTAACTGGGCTCTGCAGAAGGTGGGGAGGCAGGTGTGACTCTTTGGGGGAACGTAGTTGACAGTTGTTTCTCACATCTCAATTAGCATTATTAATTGTACAAAATAATGAGTCTTGTGGTGATTTTTTTTATTTAGTGTGGGGCGGGAGGAGCCACAAACCACTAAGTACATGTTGAGGTCACAGGACAACTTAGAGGAGTCAGCTCTCGCCTACCACTGTGTGGGTTCTAGGAATGCCTAGAATTCAGGTGTACAAGCTGGAAAACTGAACTTTGGCCCTCACACATCTATGTAGGCTCTACCACTAAGCTATATTCCCAGCCATTCTTTTGTTCTGGGTTTTGTTCTTTTTTTTGTAGCATCGGCTGGCCCAGCCTCACAGTAACATTTTCATGCGTGCATACTAGGCCCTGTTACTCTCATGATGTTACTTCCTTCTATTAGGCGTGAGTCCTGTAACCCTGTGGTGTTAGAGTGCTCCAGGGATGGGGAGTCAGCTGTTCACACTGTGTGTGCTTATATGAGAGACTCCACTTGTGTTGGGTACTTGTGTGTGACCCTATGGTATGGGGTTTTTGGCTTAGTCTCACTCCATCTCTTCTTCCATGCTCAGCATCATGCAACTTCTGCAGCAACATGGCCTTACCGACTTTTCTAGCATACAACTGACATTAGTGGCAATAGCCTTGGTGAATTGGAGGACCTCTAGGATCTCTCTCTGACCAACAGCTCATACATGGCAACCCACCCCTGGTACTGTAGATTTTCTTAACATTTGTATGGTTTGGGAGCCTCTGTTTTTATCTTACCCAACCATGAAACTCCCAAGAATCTTACAGCTATAGTTGGCCTTTGTTTCTTGGTATCTTTCAAATGGGTTTCATATCTGTAAAAAACTCAAAGGTTAACATCATATATTAAATCAGTCATAGACAAGGTCTAGCACAGCATGGAAAGGTTTCATCCATTCATATTAATTGCTTTCTCCATAGATCTTTGTTAGGTACTATAGCATGGGTAAGAGGCATTAATTTGGTTAGTTCTTTACTATCTTTAGTTATCCCTTTGGAGTCATTCCGAATTCTGGGGATCTTACGTGGAGACTCTGTATTCTTTTGGTCTTTTTTCATTTTGGTCTCCCTGTAGCCCCAGCTGTCCTAGAACTCACTATGTAGACCAAGCTGGCCTTGAACTCACAGAGATCCTCCTGCCTTTACCTCCTGAGTGCTGGGATTAAAGGTGTGCACCACCACGCCCGGCTCTTTGTATTCTTTGATCCTTGATACACTTACAGGTGCTGGCTCCAATTGCCTGACCCTGCTAAGGAGGCAGGGGGTTTCTCTTGTCCCCGCTGCACTTGTTGGTTCCCTGAGTCAGGCAGGCCCTGATTCTGCCTCCTGACTGTAGCCATATCTGTTGTCTCTCTATTGACCATCCCTGGCTGCTGGGGGAGGCCCGGTAGAAAAAACTGTCTTCACTCATAGCATAGCCTTTTTCATTTTTTTATTTTTATTTTTTTTGTCTTTTTGAGACAGGGTCTCCCTGTAGCCCCAGCTGTCCTGGAACTCACTATGTAGACCAGGCTGGCCTTGAACTCACAGAGATCCGCCTGTCTCTGCCTCCCAAGTGCTGGGTTTAAAGGCGTGCACCCCCACACCTGGCCACAGCATAGCCTTTTCTAGGAGAGAAATGTACCTTATTTAATCTTTGAGGATCCTTAACCAACTGGGAAGGTTTTTATCCTCTGAATGTGTTTTTAAACTGCTCTAAGGGACAGCGTAGGCTGTTTTGGAGGCTGTCCTTGCAGTTTTCCACTGGCACGATGAGTGCAAGTCATGGAGCCAAGGCAGCTGGCCGTGTGAGTCCCAGTGTGAAAGCAGAACCAGCAAGACCAGCAGAGCTTGTTTGTTTCAGGCCCTCAAGGGCCTGCTAGGTCCATCCACAGTGGCCAACAACCAGGGCCATACAGACGGATGTCCAGAGTGATCCTCACATGTGGCAAACTTCTTCACTTTAGTCTGAATAAGCTTGGGGTTTTGTGTGAGGACTCCTTTCTGCCAGGAGTGGATTTTACTTTTCCTGGTCCAGCATGTCGGCCTCTTATTTCCTCCGCGGTTCCCCACCCTGTGACGGTGAATGAGAGTACTCTGGTCCTTCTTGGGGTTCCTTGCTTGTAGCTGTGCTAGCTGTCAGCATTATGTTGTTGGTTCTGCTGCTGCTGCTGCTGCTGCTTGCAACTTTGAAGATTCACACCAGGATAAAGAATTGATTTTTCTCAGTCTGGTGTGGTGGCACATGCCTTTAAACCCAGCACTCAGGAGGCAGAGGCAGGCGGATCTCTGTGAGTTCGAGGCCAGCCTGGTCTACATAGTGAGTTCCAGGCCAGCTGAGGCTACAAGGAGACCCTGTCTCAAAAAGACAAAAAAAAATTTTTTTTCCTCAAGTCTAAAGTAACACACAAAAAATTACACCAAGGTTGGCCGCCTGCCACCTCCATAGCAGAGAGAAATGACTCCGAGATGAGGGTTGAAGGCTGGGTGGCTCCCATGTCTGGTGCGTGCGACTGCCCTGATTCTGACAAAATCTGCTTGTTTTGTGTATATGAGATAGTTTCCTAAGTCCTGCATCTCCCTGACCTCAAAGTAACAGCAGCAAAGGGAAGGCGGCTGGTCCTCTGACTGTCTCGTGTTCCCATAACAGACTCCTGCAGCAGGCACCCTGAAAGCTGGTGGGAAGCCTCCGGAGGGAGAGAAGCCTGGAACACGGAGGAACAGAGGTTAGACTGGGGGTGGGGAAGGGGTCCAGGCATCTCTGGCCTTAAACCAGAGTGCTCACCTAACGCTTTGGGGCCTTTCAAGACCGAGGGTACTGATTCCTGACATTTTTGGGTGGACCCAGGGTTGCTCAGGTCCCTAAGATGTACAGGGCACCCCACAGCAAGGACCCATCAAGTCTAGAGGTCAGCAGTGCAGAAGTTGAGAATCTCATTTATTTTTAGTTTTATTACTTCTGGGCTATTTCAAATGCCACAGCATGCATGTGGAGGTCAGAGGACAACTTCGTGGAGTCGGTTCTCCTTCTACCTTTCTATGCGTTCCACAGTGCAAACTCAGGTCACCAGCTTTGTGCAGCAAGTGCCTTTACTCACTGAGCCATCCAGTGAGCATCCTCCTTTTGACACAGGCTCTCTTGTAGCTCTGGCTGGCCTCAAACTTACTATGTAGCAGACCCCTGACCCTCCTGAGTGCTGGGATGACAGTTGTGGTGTTTTGAATGAGAATGTCCCCCATGAGCTCCAAGTATTTGAGACTTTTGTTCCCAGTTGGTGCTGCTATTTTAGGAGGTCTTAGGAGGTATGGCTGTGCTGGATGAAGCATGTCACTGGGGCTGGACTTACAGATCTCCATCTGCACACTGCTTCCTGTACCTGCCTGAAGATGGGAGCACTTAGCTTCTGCTCCCGCTCCAGCCACCTCTGCTGCCACGCCTCCCCGCCAGGACAGACTCTTGCCCCTTTGAGACCCTAAGCTTAAACTCTTCCTTTTATAAGTTCCCTTGGTCATGGTGTTTTATCACAGCAACAGAAGAGTAACTAATACAACGGCCGTGCACAATAAACCGTTATCCAAAAAGGATCCGAGACTGTGCTGACGGCTGTCTGCCTGTACTCCGCCATGTCGTAGCAAACGCGTGTTCCTAAACCTCCTGTGCAGGTGACCAAAATCTGACTAATGTAAATACGGTAAAGTTACCACCTGCCCCTCCCTCCGATTATCACTTTCCGTAGATTTTTGTTTAGGGATTAACAATTTTGTGCTGGGGCACAGCTCAGTGACAGCCCCAGGTTCAGTTTCCAGTGCCACATAGAAAATATGCCAAGCTTTATTCTGTTTCCTGTTGCTATAGCAGAGTACCTGAGACTGGGTGAATGGCTTTTCTTTTTTCTTTTTTTGGTCTTTTTGAGACAGGGTCTCCCTGTAGTCCCAGCTGTCCTGGAACTCACTCTGTAGACCAGGCTGGCCTCGAACTCACACAGATCTGCCTGCCTCTGTCTCCTGAGTGCTGGGATTAAAGGTGTGTGTCACCACGCCCATGCTGAGTCACCTAAACTATAAGCATGTACCACTAGCCAGTTTACTTTTTAACTTTTTTTTGTCTTTTTGAGACAAGGTCTCCCATAGCCCCAGCTGTCCTGGAGCTCACTCTGTAGACCAGACTGGCCTTGAACTCACAGAGATCCTCTGCCTCTGCCTCCCAAGTGGTAATTTACTTTTTTTTGAAAAAGGTTTATGGGGCTGGAGAGATGGCTTAGCAGTTAAGAACACTGGTTGTTCTTGCAGAAGACCCAGGTTCAAATCCCCGCATCCACATGGCAGCTAATAACTGTCCATGACTCCAGGGGATCCAATGGCCTCTTCTGACCTCCGCGGGCATTGCATGACACGGGTGCACTTACCTACAAGCAGACAATACACACATGCACATAAAAATAATAAATAAAATTTTTTTTTTTTTGGTCTTTTTGAGACAGGGTCTCCCTGTAGCCCCAGCTGTCCTGGAACTCACTCTGTAGACCAGGCTGGGCCTTGAACTCACAGAGATCCACCTGCCTCTGCCTCCCAAGTGCTGGGATTAAAGGCGTACGCCACCACGCCCTGCCTGTAAATAAAATATTTTTTAAAAAGGTTTATTGGGACTGGCAAAATAGCTCAGTAATTAAGAGCACCCAGCTGGGCAGTTTACCCTACCCTAACCCCAGCTCCAAGGGATCTGATGCCTCTGCTAACACCTACACACATGTGCAGACACACACACGCGTAGCTAAAAATAAGTCTTTTTAAAGAGCTGGGGCTGGAGAGATGGCTCAGCGGTTAAGAACACTGGCTGTTCTTGCAGAAGACCCGGGTTGGAATCCCAGCACCCACATGGCAGCTAACAACTGTCCGTAACTCCAATCCCAAGGGATCCGACAGCCTCTTCTGACCTCCACGGTCGTTGCACGACATGGATGCACTTACCTACATGCAGGCAATACATGCATACACATAAAATAAAAAATAATTTTTTTAAGTTTAATAAAATAAGAGAGCTTGCCAATGAGATGACCCAACAGGTAAAGGCACTTGGGTAAAACCAGACCTGATAACCTAAATTCAGTCTCCGGAACCAACAGGGTGGAGGAACAAAAGCAACTCACGCATGTTGTCTTCTCACCTACACGTGTGTGCATGCACACAAAGAACACAAATCAGTCTGTTCTTTTAGAGAGGGCACCCAGTTCTGGAAGTGCAGGTTCAGGAGCATGGTTCCGGCACGTGGCTGGCTGTAAATGGACCCTGGTGGAAGAACAGAGGAACCTACCTGCCCTCTCACAGGCCAGCGAGCTTCCCTGGCCAGTTCAGCCTTCTTTCCTCCCGGGAAGAAACCAGGTCTTTGGGACAAGTGCTGCCTTACAAAAAAGGTGCCTGCCTGCTCTGGCGACTGCACTAAGCTTGGTTCTTCTCTGGGCAGAAGACAGCAGCGGGATGGCAAAGGGGAACCTGCAGTCCACCATGCTGGAAGGGCCTGGCACGGCCCTGCCCGAACTGGAGCTCTCTGCCATCAGTGGTAAGCATTCCTTTCACCCCAACTCTCACAGCAGGGCTTGTAACAGTAAAGATGGTCCCCAGCTCACGGTGGTTCTGTGGTGAGTTCCTAGCTTACTGAAAACCAGGCCTAAAGTTCTGAATTGGGGGTCTATTCCCAGCTGGCACTGTGTGATCTTGTCATTTCCCATGAGGCCGGGCAGCAGCAGCAAGTGCAGATCCCTGGCAGCCCCATAACCCTAAGAGGACTTGAGGATGGCCTGCCCTCTGCAGTGAACTGGGCTGCTGGGCCAGTAGTATCCATTTTCCACTTAGGCCATCTTCAGTTTGTGACAGGCTTTTCATGAGTTTGAGAGGCACCTGTTATATGTTTTTTACAGGTATGGGGACACATCTGCAGCCCCAACTATGGCAGGAGGCCAGCGTTTGTTTTGTTTTGTTTTGATACAGGGTCTCCCTATAGCCCCACCTTGGCCTGGAATTCACTATATAAGCCAGACTGGTCTCAATCTCAGACATCTGCCATCTGCCTGCCCCCCCCCCCGACTCCCAAAGTGCTGGAGTTAAAGGGGTTCACCGCCACGCACAGCTAAAAACAGTCATTTTTTAATGAAATGGTCTTGTTCATTTTAGATAAAAGTATGGTCAAGAAGACTCCCCACGTGGACAGGATGATGCCCAAGAAAGCAGCGGCCTTCAAGGCCCCTCGGAAGAAGAGCCCGGTGAGTGGGAGTTAGGGGCCAGAGGGCATGAGCGGCCCTCCAGGATGGAAGCGGGCCAGGGTACCCTGGTCCTTCTTCAAGGCTGTTTGCCCAGACACAGACATGGGCAAACTCACATAAGTCACAGGGAGAGAGGGACTGTGGCTTGGGCTGCATAGGCACTGGCTTCCTCTATAGCTTGGCAAACTGTTCTCTGAACCTGTAAACTTGTGGAGGTTCAAGTTCTGCTCTCACTGCATAAGAGGCAGGTAGACTGCAGGTCACTAGGAACTGAACTGTTGGGCTACCCCAGGACCTGCAAGAGGCCATGGACATGATGGAGTCACAGACACTGCTTCTGACCCTGCTGACCGTAAAGGTGAGTGTGGCGGGCCGTGGACTGCAGGGCCTTGGTGAACCCCAGCATGTTCCCTTGGCATGAGCCTGTGTCACCTCTGTAGATGGAGAACAACCTGGTCCATCTGGAAGCAAAGGCAGAGAAGGACCTGCAGATCCTGTGCCGGGAGAGGGAGCGGCTGCAGGCACAGGTGCTGCAGCTGAGACGCCAGCTGCTGCTCTCCCAGAAGCAACAGGAGCTGAATGTGGCTCTTGACACCCAGGTAGGCAATGAGGCCCAGGAGGGGGCACTGCAAACCCTGCCAGCTTTGCCTGGGCTCCCTTTGCTGGCATGGGCCGGTACATGGGGACCTGGCCTTTCCTTACACTCAAGCCCTGGGTGCCTGCAGGTCCACCTGGAGGGTCAAGGGGCTGGACAGAGCATGTTGAGCACAGTGTCCCATCCAGGGAAGGACAAAGGACCCTGGGAACCCAGGAAGGGCTGGCTGGGCCAGGACCCAGACCCCAAGTACCTGTAAGGCTCAGACACTGCAGTCTATCTTCAGGGCCACTCTCTTGCCCTCCTTTTAACTTTGTGACCTCTCTAGAGCCTTTCTTCACATCCCCCCCAACACACACTGGAGGTAGAATGTCAGATAATAATTTAGGGGAGGGGCGAGAGAGACTCTGTGATAAAGCACTGGATGCTCTTGCAGAGGACCCAGGTTCCATTCTCAGCCCCTACATGGTAGCTAAGAACCATCCATAACTCCAGATCCAGGGAATCCAGTGCCCCCTTGGTCCCTCGAGCATTGCACACATGTGGTGCACTTGCATACATGAAGGTGAAGTACTCATAAAATACATATAAATAAATAAATAAGGGACATGCTAGGTGTAGTAGCACACACCTTTTACTCTTAGCACCCAGGAGGCAGAGGCAGGTCAGTCTCTGAGTTCAAGGCCAGCCAGGGGCCCTATGTCAAAATCATAACTTAAGGGACACAGTCGAGCCCCCACACCAGCATAGTCCTGGGGTCCCTTGCTGCCAGGCCCTTGGGCTGAGGACATAGGCTCCATGCTTGCAATGCGTGTACACAGATGGTGTAGCTCAGAGAGGACCCAGAATATGGGGATGGGGCAGCCTCATGGATGGCCTGTAACAGCTCCATAGCCAAGGGCCCAGCATTCCCAGGTCTACCAGGGCCCCTGTCAAGAGCCCAGGCGTGGAGTGCACTGGACACTGGACAAGGTTCATGGTGAAGGTCATGGGTTGCCTTGCTGCTTCCTGAGCTGCAACAGAAGAGCCTGCCATGCTTCAGACATTACTGGGAAGCAGGCCGTGTCTACTGTGGCAAACCCAAGGATCCCAGGACCCTGGAGATGCCATACCTACATGTCAGCCTGGCACATGAGGCAAACCCAAGAGCCTGAGCTGACAGCAGGCAGGGCCCCAGGTTCCATCCCAGTACCCTCACCTGCTCTGGCCTGTGTGACTACAGGATCCTGTCTCACTGCCCTCTCCCACCTGCAGATAGAGATGCTGAGCCCCTTTGAGGCCGTGGCAGAACAATTCAGAGAGCAGTACAAGAAGCTGGCCACAGCACTGGATACCACGCGGCATGAGCTGCCCACCCGTGCAATTCACCTGCAGGGAAGTGGGGAGGAGCTCCTAGGTAGGAACGGCTGTGTGGCATGGGGGGGGGTCAAGGTCGCCAAGGACCCAGGCTCTCGCCGGCTAGAGTCAACCCAGCCCACTGGGACACTTGGAAACCTGAGTGGCAGCATGCAGTTTGGGATTCGCTGGAACAGATGTTGTCACAGTCTGCACAAGTAGGCTTTTAGGATGGGGTTTGTGTGTTCCTGAGGCATCCCACTCACCTTGGGATCCATTCCATAACCCCTAAGAACACAGAAGCCACAGGCACTCAAGTCCTTCTAGAGACCTGGTTCTTGGGAGGCCAAGGCAGGAGAGCCATGAAGCCAGGAGTTCAAGGTCAGCTAGGGCTACACATGGAAACTTTTTTTTTTTTTTAATATTTTTGTTATTTTTATTTTATGTGTATGAGTGTATTGCCTGCATGTATGTGAGTGCACCTGTGTTGTGCAGTGCTGTGGAGGTCAGAAGGGGGCTTCGGATTCCCCTGGAATTGGAGTTGAGGATGGTTTGTAGCCACCATGTGGGTGCTGGGAATCCAACCCAGGTCCTCTGCAAGAGCAGTCAGTGCTCTTAACTGCTGAGCCATCTCTCCAGCCCCTACACATGGAAACTCTTACTGAAAAAAAAAAAAAAAAGACAAGGTGGCTCGCCCCTGTGATCTCAGCAGAAGGATAGCTATGTGCTCAAGGCCAGCCTACACTAGTATTGACAGAACCATCACCTGTCCTCTGCAGACTACACAGTGCAGACCCTGCATGTGGCCTCCACACCAGACTGCTCAGGATCAGGACAGGAGCCAGGCTGTGTGCAGCACAGACACAATGGGGTTTCTGGTTTGGGGTTTTCTTTTAGTGTTTTTGGACCATGCTTGATGACATGTGCACTATGGGCCTGTGGCTGTGACACTTGGGGCTATCAGAGAGAGCAGTGTTACCTCCTGTCCCATGGGGGACTTGTCATCCAAAGTGTATGCCCATGCACACACACACACATGCATATGATCATACATGTATACACATATACATACACACATATATACACACATACAGCACTCCTGGGCTCCTTCATCCTCCCGAGTGGTGGGGACCACAGGCTCCTGCCAACACACATGGCTACAGTGGCTTTGGAAAGCTTTCCCTGGTCTGGCCATAGGATGCCAGGCATAGGCCTCAGTAACATGGCACAGCCTCTGACACCAAAGTGGTTTCTGCAGAGGACTCTGAAGGGGCAACCAGCTCTCCCCAGCCATCACTTCCTACACACCCCAGCAGCTGTCATGCAGGCTGTCCAAGTTCATTTCCTGCACCGTGGTAAATCCAGGGGCCAGTACTGGCATCGGGTGGGCCTTCTTGCCTGTCGGCTCACAGTGGAAGGGCACAGGAGAGCAGACAGGAAGCTGGCAGCCTGGAGCCTTGTTTTCCTTGTGTGTTTCATGTCGTGGGATGAACATAGCTTCACACAGGCCACACCTGCCATTGAGCTACACCTAGCCCTTCAGTCCCTCAGTCCAGAGTGCTGGACCATTGGGCACCCTCCTGGCTGATGACTCTCACAGGCCCCTCAACACCTCCACATTGAGGGTTTGCTTTCTTTTTTTTTCGTCTTTTTGAGACAGGGTCTCCCTGTAGCCCCAGCTGTCCTGGAACTCACTATGTAGACCAGCCTGGCCTCGAACTCACAGAGATCCACCTGCCTCTGCCTTCTAAGTGCCACCACGTCCAGCTTGGGAGTTTGCTTTCTAACACGCCAGCACAGGCTGGTGACAAGCCAGGTCTCTGCTGAGCCACCTCCCTCCATCCTGATCTTTTGCTCTGAAGTTGGTCAGGCCTGCACCAGGCAAGAAGCATAGCCACTCCAAAGTACATTTGTCTGTTGTTTTGGGCACCCAAGTACCCCTAACAACCACTGTCCCCACAGATGCTCTGCAGCCAGCCCTGAGGACCACCTTCCAGCTGCTAGGGGAGCTGGGTGTTGATACCACGGATGCCAGCACACAGGCACTGTGCCTGCTGGGGGAGCTCAAGGACGCCATTGTCAAGAAGGACCTGGAGCTTCGCAGGTGCCACAGTCCCCCCACTCCCTGCCTCCTTCCCTCGTTCTTAATCTTGGGGTTGCTGAGGATGGAATCTGGGCCTCATGCTCACCAGGCAAATGTGTCCCCACTGAGCTGCAGCCCAGTCCAGCAGGTACTTAGGTGAAAGGCTCAGCCAGTGCTGCCAAGTAGGTATCCTATGACAGTCAGCAGTCACTGTCCGGGACCCTATAGCACCATCCCCTCTCACAGCCTGCTTCTAGTTCTGAGATACTGGGGCACAGGACGCAAGTGGAGTCCTAGGTTCTCATACCAGGCCAGAAGTCTTCTGATCAGGTCCCAGCAGAACAGGAACAGGGACAGCAGAGACCTGAGGCTGCTCAGGGTTGGTTCTTAGGTTTGTTTTTGAGATGAAGTCTCATGGTGTAACCCAGTCTGGCCTTGCACATGCAGCAACCTTCCTGCCTCACCTTGCACAGTGCTGGGATGACACACATGCACTACCATGCCCAGCTTTTGATCTGTTTGTTTTGGTTTTGAGACAGGGTCTCCCTGTGTAGCCCTGGCTGGCCTTGAACTCATAGAGACCCACCTGCCTTTGCCTCCTGAGGGCTGGAATCAAAGATGTGTGTCACCACACCTGGCTTATTTTTATTTACTTCTTTATTGGGGGAGGGGGCATGGTGCTCCTGTGGAGGTCAGAGGGCAACTTGCAGGAATTGGCTCTCTCCTCCCACCATGTGGGTCCCAGGGATTGAACCTTGGTCATCGGGCTTTGCATCAGGCTCTTTTGCCCACTGAGCCATCTCACCAGCCCCTCAAAAAGAGTCTTGCTCTCTCTCCTTCCTAAGGCTAAGTGTACTTAAGCTGAAGTAGCTTGGAAGACCTGCCGTGAAGCAGCTGTCCTCTGCCTGCTGACCTCACAGGGCTCATCAGGGGTTGTCAGTGCTCACAGACCTCACAGATGGGGCATCTGAGCTGTATGCTTGGGGATGGTGGGGCTTTGACCCTCTCATGCCTGTGCCACCACTATCTGGCCAGCAACTGACACAGTCCAAATGCTCGCTGAATGCTGTTGTCCCTGCATGTTACAAAGTCCCTGTGTCTAGGATTCACCAGCCACAGGTTGAAGGAGTTGTGGGCACACCAGTATCCGCTTTCTCTTCATTGTACAGAACAGTCTGACAGGGTACCCATGCCAGCGTCTGTCCCACAGCAGGCATGCTCCGTCTCTGCAGACCCCAAGAGAGCCATAGAAGGGACCTGAACATCCATGGGTCTTAGAATCCACAGAGGGTTCTGGAACTATTTGGTCCTTGCAGACAGAGCCTCCACACACTGAGGGTGTGGTCTGGCCTGCTGCCTGCATTATCCTTGGAAGGGCTTGTGATGGGAGCTCGGCAGATAAGATGTTCAACACGGGGAATGTGGGAACACCTGGTGTCCTGGGGATTCCAGAGGCTGAGGCAGAATGGAAGAGCCAAGACCTCAGCAGTGTAGGGAGACCCCGCTCTGTCGTTTAAAAATGCTTAGCCATGCTGGGTATGGTGGTGCACCTTTAATCCTAGACCTTGGGAGGTAGAGGCAGGTAGACCTCTGTGAAATTGTGGCCAGCCTGGTCTACATAGTGACTTTCAGGTGGGCTGGGATTAAGAAGACACTGAACCCGCCACCCCCCCACCAAAAAAAATAGCCATAGTGGGCACACAGCTTTGATCCCAGCACTCAGGAGGCAGAGGCGGAACTCTGAGTTCAAGGCCAGCCTGTGTATGTAGTCAGTTCCAGGCCAGCTGGGGCTTCATGGAGACCCTGACTAGAATCCAAAACACACACAAAAAAAACCTTCCTCACTGGGCCGGATGACATAGGCCTGTCATCCTGGCTACTCAGGAGGATGAGTAGTTCAGGGCTGTCCAGGGTACTTAGTGAAACCCCACTGAAAAGGCAAGAGCTGGGAGTGGCCAGAGTTCAGCACTGGAGTTCCGGCCTACCACCCAGGAAGCACACACACCTACCACATGTACACACAGCTTAGCCTCTACTTCCCACCAAGGACAATAAATTTTAAAGGCTCCATCAGAGCCCTGTCCACAGACAAAGTTCCTTCACTCTCTTCTATACACAGGAGCGTCAGCCAGGTGCTGGAACTTTCTGCGGAGGTGAGTAAAGAAGCAGCCTTGATGAACCAGGAAGTGTGGGAGGAAGCCCAGGGTGCCGAGGCCTGCAGCCAGTGGTATTTCAGTCCCGACACTGTGGACGCGTCAGCACAGCTGAGGAGCAGCATCTCATCCCAGGACAGCAAGCCAGGTGCCTGTGACCACTGTGCAGGCCCATGCCCTCCTGGGGGCCTTCCAGAGTAGTGACAGGAGAGCCTGTGAGCACCCAATCAGGACTGGTGCCGTGACTCTGACACTGAAGGTTGTGTGCCCTTCATCAGTTCTGGGGGATGGTTGTGCTCTTTTTCACTATTTAAAAAGACTTTTGCATTAAAGCCTTTTCCATTTTTCTCTTTTTTTTTGGTTATTTTTATTTTACTATATGAGTGTATTGCCTACATGTGTGTAAGTGCACCCATGTCGTGCAATACCTGAGGAGGTCAGAAGAAGGCATCGGATCCCCTGGAACTAGAATTGCAGACGGTTGTTAGCTGCCATGTGGGTGTAAGAATCGAACCCGGGTCCTCTGCAACAGCAATCAGTGCTCTTAACCACTGGGGCAGGGCTTTGGTTCCCTGGGCTCAGTAGACCTAGTGCCACATCCAGAGTGCAGGTCAGATAGACTCACACTGGAGATGTGCCAGACCTGGGCATGCTTAAGCATGCACAGCAGCCCTTGGCCACATGTGCTTACCACATGCCTTCTACACACAGGCTGAACTGCATGTGAGCCCAGTTTTTCATTTAAATTTATTTTTATTTTACATGCGTGTTTTATCTGCATTTATGTATCTGCACTCCTGTGTGCAATGCCCACAGTAGTTAGAAGAGAGCATCTGACCTGCAACTGGAGTTTAGGTCAGCTGCCAGGTGAGTGCTGGGAACTGAACCTAGGTCTCTCTCCAGCCCCCATGTTCTTTATCTTTGCACAGTTTTACAGTATGGGACTTCTCACTTGTGACATCACCAGCACTTGCTCAGTGTGGAGAGTTTCAGGTTTTCCAATTAGGGATGCCCTGCTGTGGGACTCACCTTCAGCAGTGTTTGCTGTTCTGTGATCCCTGCTGGGTGGGTCTGATGACTTGTGTCAGCCCCCATATGGAAAGTGTCAGTCCTGTGACCAGGAAACAGTCCACCCACCCCAGTCATCTCTGGTCCTCAATGCCATTTCTGATTACAAGTAGTTCCTCAGTTACAGTGGGTCAGCACAGGAAGTTTCAACTTCATGATGGCACCAGTGTGCATTTAGGAGGGACTGCCCTGAAACCCGCACTCCCCAGGGGCAGCAGTGGGGCAACCCTGAGGCGCTGCAATGGTGCCTGGAGTCAGTACGCTTGGGGCCTGGTGATGGGCTTAGGGACCCGGAAGAGGAACTCGAGCAGCACTGCAGGGAGCTAGCTGGTCCGTTCACTTGTGCTGCCCAGGGCCATCACATGCTAAGCCCATTCTCCCTGCCTCAGCCTCAGCCTCAGCCTGGCCTAGGCCCACCTCCTGGACTCCCTGTGGTCACAGCATTCTCTCCTAGGGCACCTACAGGCCGAGGAGGTGAGTCCTCTTCACAGAAGACTTGCTCCGTTGTACTTTTCAAAGTTCCATTTCCTCATGCTGGTTTGCTCAGCTGACTGTGACCACCAAGGCCACATGGCAGGTGGCAGTTGTTGACAATCAGTTCTGGAGGAGGTCCAAGACCAAGTACCAGGGTCTCTGGGCCCCTTCCTTTTTGAGACAGGCTCTCATACGTGAGATGTTCTCAACTTGCTGTGTAGCTGAGGATGACCCTGAATTCCTGGTCCTCCTGCCTCCACCTCCCAAGTGCTGTCTACCATGCCCAGTGTATGAAGTGCTGGGGATTGATCCCAGAGCTTCGTGCATGCTAGGCAAGCACTCTGCCAGCTGGGCCTCAGCCTCAGCCTCCTGTTTATTCCTACATTTGTGTGTGGAGATCAGAGGACAACTTGGCAGTAGCCAGTTCTCTCCTTCCATTCCCCTCTCCCCCGTTCTGTTTCCTGTTCCTGTGTGTCTGCCCATCCTGCTGCTGCTGGGTATCACACTGCTGTAAACAGCACACCATCTGGGCTCTTCAGGGCCCAGTGACGGCATACCCCAATCCCACCATTGAACAATCAAGTCTGCCAGCCACTGTCCATATCTGCTGGTGTGCCGGCGCCCGGCTGCCTCCTTCCCCCTCCTGTACCTGTCAGCTTTTGGCAGCTGCTATACAAAGCAGAGGCTGGTTTTGGTTCTGGAGGTACAAGGTGCACACAGCATAGCCCAAGCCATGGCAGCCCTCCTGCCAGGTTGCCCTGGGAACAAGGAGTGTCCCTAACTGTCTCCCTCTCATAAACCTGACAGCTGTCAGGGGGCGGGGGCTGGAGAGTGGCTCAGCGGTTAAGAGAACCAGATGCTTTTGCAGAAGACCCAGTTCCCAGCACCCACATCAGGCACCTAACAGTCATTTGTACCTCCAGCTCCAGGGCATCCCACACCCTCTTCTGGCCTCTAGGCACTGCACTCAGACACAGCTATGTGTACATAATTTAAAAATAAAAATAGGATCAGGGATTATGGTGTAGGCCCTTAGTCTCAGCACTCAGGAGACGGAGGCAGGCAGATGTCTGTAAATTTCAGATCAGCCAGGACTACATAGTAAGACAGAAAAATTAAAGTTTGCTGAGGTTGGAGAGATTGGCTTGGCAGTTAAGAGCACTGGCTGCTTTTGCAGAGGACCCAGGTTTGAGTCCCAGCACCCACATGGTAGCTAACAACTATCCATGGCTCCACTTCCAGGGGATCTGACAACCTCCTATGCTTCTGCAAGCATTGCATGGCATGGGTACACTTATATATGTGCAGACAATACACTTACACACATAACATGAATATTTAAAAGATTGCTGAAGTAGGCTGGAGAGATGGCTCAGCGGTTAAGAGCACTGACTGCTTTTGCAGAGGACCTGAGTTCAAGTCCCAGCACCCACATGGCAGCTACGAACTGTCCTTAACTCCAGGTCCAGAGGACTCCAAAGCCCTCTTCTGATCTCTGTGGCATTGCACTACACGGGTGCACTCACATACATGCAGGCAACACACTCATACACATAAAATAATTTTTTTGGTTTTTTTGAGACAGGGTCTCCCTGTAGCCCCAGCTGTCCTGGAACTCACTATGTAGATCAGGCTGGTCTTGAACTCACAGAGATCTGCCTGCCTCTGCCTCCCGAGTGCTGGGATTAAAGGTGTGCGCCACTGCCCGGCTAATAATAAATTTTTAAAAATTAGAAATAAAAAAAGATTGCTGAAGCCCAGTTTCCATATCTGGGTGTTTTACACAATCGTGGCTCAGTTGTGGTGTTTCAAGTGGAACCTGCGTTTGGGATGGGCAAGTGAGCAGGTTGCACAGTCAGTCCCTGCGTGGGTAACCTGAGAATTGGAAGGAATGGTTAGAAATGCATCTGAAGCAACACATCCCACCCTTAATGAAACCACCTGCCATGGGAACATTCTGGAATCCAACATCCTCCAGCCTGGGACCTGCAGAGCCCTGGAGCCACGTCACAGCAAGCCTGCTGGGCCTAGTGTCCCCAGCCTACATGGCTGTACTTTTGTGCATGGGCACAGGTCTGTATGTGCATGTGCAGGCATGGGGGCGGGGTGCACTGTGTGAGGGGGAGGTCAACCCTGGTTGTCTTCATCAGGCACCTCCACCTTTTGTCTGAGTGTCACACGGGGCTGAGTGGTCACAGCCCCAGGATCTGCCCACTCCCTCCCAGTCTGCAGTGTGGGGAAACAAGCACACACCTTACCTGGGTTCTGGGGATCAAACTCAGGTCCTCATGCTCGCATGGCAAGTGTTTTACTGGCTGAGCCAACTACCCAGCCTAGAGCTTCCTTGTGAGGCTGGATATATGGCCTTGGGGTGGGAGTCATAAAGAAGTTGGGGGTGGGGCCACTACATGTTATCTGAGCCAGTTCTCCATCACTGTGACAAAATACTGGAAACATCAGCTTAAAGGAAGAATGCTTAACTCTGCCCCCGATGCTCCAGAGGTTTCAGTCCCTTGGCCCTGTCACCTTTCCATCAGTGACGAGGCAGCATCGTGGTGGGAGCCAGGAAAAAGAGACAGTGGGGTCCCCACATCCTGTTCAAGTACACACCCCAATGATCCAAATTCTTCCCTTCAGCTGGGGACCACATCTTTAATACATGAGTCTTTGTGGGGACATTGAAGATCCGGACTAGAGGCTGGTAAGATGGCTTAGTGGGTAAAGGAGCTTGCTGCCAAGTCTGACCATCTGAGTTCAATCCCAGGGACTCACATGGTAGAAGGAGAGAACTGACTCCTGGTTATCTTCTAACCCACTATTTTAAAAAACCGAAACAGGCTGGGCATAGTGGCACACGCTTTTGATCCCAGCACTTGGGAGGCAGAAGTAGGCAGATCTCTTGAGTTCAAGGCCAGCCTGGTCTACATAGTGAGTTCCATCCAGGTCAGCTGGGGTGCAGGGAGAAAAAAGACACCCCCCCCCGAAAAAAAACCAGAAACTGGACTAGAGGGATAGCTCAGCAGTTTAGAGCACAAGCTGCTCTCACAGAGGATCAGAGTTTGGTTCCCAGCATTATGTTGTATGACTGAAAACTGCCTTTAACTCCAGCTTGAGGGAACCTGACGCCCTCCTCTGGCTTCTGCAGACACTGCAGTCATACACATGCACACATACTCATAATTAAAAATAAAAGCCAGGCATGGTGGTGCATACCTTTAATCCCAGCACTCGGGAGGCAGAGACAGGCGGATCTCTGTGAGTTTGAGGCCAGCCCGGTCTCCAATAGCGAATCCAGGCCAGCTGTGGCTACAGGGAGACCTTGTCTCAAAAAGACCCAAATAAATAAACAAATAAATAAATATCTTTCCTTTAACAGTAAAAACCAGGGCTGATGGGGGATGGCTCAGCCACAGAGCACTTGCTAAGCCTGTGGGAAGGCCCTGGTTCCATTTCTCAGTGAGCATGCTTGAGGCCCCAGCCCCATTTCTCAGTGCCTGCTGACCACACAGGAGGCCCAGGTCTCATCTCCAGTCAGGAAACAAAACAGACCAAATATCCATAGTGGACTGCAGCAGGCATGGGGATGACACAAATGGAAGTGCTCACACACAGAGCCTGACACCGTGCCCTTGTGCCAAGTCCTGAGCTCCCTCTGGACTTGGGGAGGTGGGCAACGAGCTCAACATGCAGAGTCAATTCTGAAAAGCATCTGTGATGGCTGAACCGTCATCTTACACTCCAGAATCACCCAGGAAGAGTATCTCAGCAAGGGACTGTCTCCATCAAGTTGGCCTGTTGGTGTTGCCTTGGG